TCTCTTCGTCTAAAATATTTTCAGATTTCTAGCACTTCCGGTTATACCGGAAGTCGCCACCTACTTTATTTTTTTAAATGGAACACCCTGTATATTTTTACATATTTGGATTTGTCTGTTTTCAAGGTTTATAAATAACTTTACTTTTTGCAATTTGATTCGGTCGTTCTCGAGTTATTCGAATTTTTCTAGAAAAATCTGCTCCAGCAGACATTTGTTCAAAAAATCAGAAAACAGTCAATTTTTGGGATATCAATTTAGGATTGAGAACATGCTTAAGCAACATGATGGAGTATGTTTTGGTGCCGAGAACTGCGGTCTAGAACGTTTGATCACTTTACTATGGCACGTTAACTTTTCAAAATTTGGAAGTACCATAACTTCATTTTTTTAAATGGCACCTCCCATATTTTATTTTTTAGTCGTCTTCGGTGTCTCATTCTACATCTTTTATATCCCATATGGCCCATACAATACTTAAGTCTGCATTCTCAAATTTTTTGTTTGGCCAGAACCCCAGAAACGTCTAATGACCGGTCTCGCTGAGACACCCTGTATAATAAAGGAGAACTTTATAGTTAGTAATTTTGGAATTATCAGTTATTTTATTTATCATCGAATGTCAACCATTTTTATAAGAAATTATTAATCCTTTTTAATAAACCGGATATCCTTTGATACAATTTAGACACTGTCCACTTATATCAATTGCACAACAAACATTGCAACATTAAAAAGACAGACAATGAAATCGTTCGTGATTTAATTGACAAGCTACTAAAGATTGCTTAACAGTAAATAAAAGAAATTATGATTTGTAACTTATTCGAAATAGGTGGAATTAAATCAAACAATTTTTTTTATTATAAGTTTACGTGAAAGTTCCCAATTTAACAATTTCTTTCACTTTTACCGCTGATCCAATTACCTCTGAAAGCGTGGAAATGAAAATTTCAATCAAATAACAACAACGCAAACGATATTTGAAAGAAAATGTTATTTTTCGTGAATTTTTCTTAAACCTTGAAGGCAAAAGGAGTTCAATTCGATCCATTTCTTCTACCACTTCTTCGTATGATGGTCACACGAGGCTATTACGGAATACAATGGGTTAAAAGTCATTAGCATAGCTTTCACTTACCCGTGCCATCTTTTGGTTTCTTTTCTTGGGGAGGAAGGAAGCGATTGAAGCACTGTTTGTAACGACAACGGCGACGAAGAGTATCCGTCGAAAGTCGCAACGATACGAAGACGACGACTGTTACAAAGTTCCTTTAGTCGCGACCAACCGTTGCTCCTCAAGAGACGGTGTTCCACATGTCTTCAGTAAGTGGGTGAATGGTTCTCGGCGAAGATGTTTTCGTCTTCACGCGGTCGGGGTTGTGCATTGGTTTTCGCGTGGTTATGCTGTTTCTTTAGAGCAACGGCTGTGCCTAATCCAAAGCAAACTCAAGAATTGATGCTATTAGATCAATTAGGACGAAGAAATCCAGTTAGTTTATCGGAAACTCCAGGATTTATCGATATGATTGGACGAAGTAATCAAGAATTTTTCATGAAAAAATTATAAATTAAAAATTTAATTTTTATATATTTTTTCTTCTTATAGTGATTCCACAATCATGTAGATACAAGGGAGTAAAATATGAGTGTGGATTAAGTATAAGCTGTGTGATAAGCGGAGGAAGACCGATGGATCTATGTTCCGGAGGAATGATTTGGTCTTGTTGTGTTGATCGGGATACCCCATCCCCTACAAGAAACCCACCACAAGTTTTACATAACGCAAGTAAGTTTAAAAACAAATATTTAGATTTTTGTGTTAATTTTGAATCCGAGTACTCAAAAATGGTTTTTCAATTAATAATATTGTCAATATGAAGACACTTATCATCTAGTGAGTCATTATCCACCCTCAGACGCCGATTATCCAGACACGAACAGCGTCGATAGACCTTCATACCATCCCGTTTACTACGATGATGAACCCCTTTATGAACAAGATCAACCATCTAAACACGATTTAAGTCATAAGGGTAAATTAAAAATACATAGAATCATTTTGGACACTATAGTTCGTTAGATTTGTTCACTTTCTTTAATGTAGAAGTATAGCACAATTTCCTTAAATATTTTGATCACTGCTGTTTTTATATTATTTCTGAATTAAAACACATTTCTATTAAAATAAAATTAGTGTGTAATCGAAATTTGATTTATTTTTTAATAAAACTTCTTTGAGTGAGAAAATGGAGAAAAATTAAACATTTTTGTAATAAAAAAATTTCATTACGTTTACATTTTTGATGTAAGTTAATTGAATTTTCCAATAAAAACTTTTATAGAAGGTTTAAAACGAAATGAAAGAGTTTTAATTACTCTTTTCTAGTGTAACCGTTTGAATGCTCTTTTAAAATGGGTCCATTTCGTGAGGGCCATTAAAAAACTTTTTATCATTATTGAATTAATACGATTTTAAAAATTAACTTTACGAAAATGAATGATTAAAAAGTATTATTTCTTCAGCACGAACTTTTTCGAATGCGATTACCGCTAGATAAAGTTTCTAGAGAAAAATTTACAGTTACGGTTTTGCCAATTCCGGCTCTTCTCCATAAAAGTAATTGGATTTATATCCAACGCAAATTTTCAAAGTAAATATTTTCTTTCGAGCGACCCAGAATGTGGTCTAAGAGGATTTTACATAACAATGAAGTTTAGGAAGTAAATTCCTAAAATTGTAAGGATTCTGCATTAAAATATTTGAAACATTCATTTTTTCGTTTAATAAAAAGTTAAACTACACGGGTCTTGTAGTATGTAATTACTATCAATAACACGAACAGAACTCGTGCAATTACAGCTCATATTTCATACCCCATTTACTACGGCTGCGTTCCGATGCGCTAGCCTCCAATTTCCGCCTTCAATCTATCATCATTTCCGATAGGAACAAAATTGTGACCAAGTAACATATAAACACTGATAAGCAATCATGTAGAAATAACTGATGCACCTTTCAATTTTATTTCTTTATTCTTATTAATTAAATTTTTCCTAGTTCACGATTTCATGTAGTTCTTTTTTAGTAAATGTATATACGATAAATGTGTTTAAATTTGCTTTTATTTTTAGCATGTGGAGAACTTTATACAAGAAGTAATAGAATTGTAGGTGGTCATTCCACTGGATTTGGTTCTCATCCTTGGCAAGTGGCCCTTATCAAAACTGGGTTTCTTTCTAAGAAATTAGCTTGCGGAGGAGCTTTATTGAACGAACGGTGGATTGTTACTGCTGCTCATTGTGTAGCTTCGTAAGTAAAGTTTAAGTCTATAATAGTAAGAAATGTTCAGTGAAACTCAGGTATTGATTAAATCTTGACCCATTTACATCACAAAGCTCTAAATAATGCTCGACTATTCTTTCTTATTTCAATTAGAAAAGATGTCTGTTGTTTCATGTATTGGTTTTCATGGATTTTTTTTCATTTTAGATATAATGAATTTCTTTATTTATTTAATTATCTATTATAACTTTAGCACCCCAAAAGTTTAGGGCAAATGTAGGTCCTTAATGAACCTTAATATTGCTCCAAGGTCTTGTTCCTTTATGTCGGTAGGTGTTATGTAAAAAAATTTTATCGAAAATGTTGTGTCTTATGGCTGGTTTAGGATATCAAACGTAACCGTAACCGTAGCAGTAGTTGTAACCGTAACATTAAGGAACTTAACGTTTACAGCTGACCCGTTTAGGAAGCAACTTTAAGATTTTAAAATTTAAATATGTAGTTAATAAAATAACGAGAAAAGTACGGAACGTTTAAAAGTAAAAATGTGTGGTGAACACTCTGTTCACCACTTGCAACGTTACTGCAACGTGTTTCAGTACTTGCAACGAGTGTTTCAGTACTTGCAACGAATACTGAAACACCAGCCCGTTATGTCAACATGTAAACACAAAACACCTGTACGTAGCCAAGTTTAACATTGACCCTTCGCATTAGTGCGCATGCTCAAATTTTGTCCTAAACGTAAGAAGTTAAAAGTTGGTCAACTTTAGGTATTACGGCTACATCGGCCATAGCAGACCGTAGCCTTAAGCGGTTCCCTAAACGGTGTTATTGAAACACATTGGTTTAACTTTTCTTACCGCTACGGCTACGGCTAAGGTTAAGTTTGACATCCTAAACCCACCATTAGGCTGCCTCTGGCGACGTAATTGCGCAGCATATGTTCAGCCATTTCTGACTCGTCATTGCAAAGTCGACAAGTTTGTTCCTCAGCTTATCCAATGTGGAAGAGGTGGTATGCTGAGGCATAAAACCTCTTTGGTTTTGTTTTGCGACAGAGTTATCATACTCTTATGTGAATGTGGTTAGACCTATGATCACATACGGAGCAGCAGCCTGGTATAGGAAAGTCCGACAGACTTCAGTTATCAGTAAACTTTCACGAATTCAACGAGCAGCTGGATTTGCAATCTCTGGTGCGATAAGCACAACGCCAACTCTAGCAATGGAGGTTCTGCTTGGCCTATCTCTTCTGCATTTGCATATAGAGAAAGTGGCTAGAACAACCATTAAGTAATATACTCAAAACTGTTCCGACATGTCCTACCAATGGGCTGTGGAAGACATTATAAGCACTGATACTGTGCTATCAATGCCGTCTGATTAGGTCGGATGACTATCAGTGATTGATGCTCGATACCAGATAGTACTGCCTGAACGGCAGTCCTGGATCGAAAATGAAAATTCTCTGGTTCAGGCAGATATTTGCATGTTCACAGATGGATCAAAAATGCCGGAAGGAGTCGGAAGTTCCGAATACTGGAGGAGTATACTGGACTATACTGATAAAAATAAGAAATACAAATCATTTTATTTTTACCATAATAACATAAAGATGAACCTGGAGAAAAATATCGTTAAGTCAAGAGTATACTGCCAGACACCTCGAAATAACCAAGCTTACAGCCTGGGTACGTACTGTACTGTATTCCAGGCGGAAGTATTTGCTATTGACGTGGGTGCTAAAATCCTTCTTGAGGGAGGGGTGAAAAACATGAGAGTACGACTTTTCTCAGACAGTCAAACCGCTCTCCAGGCGCTGCAAGCCGTGAAAACGGTGTCAGCTCTGGTTAATGATTGTAAGAGAACATTAAACACACTGAGTTGTGATAACAGAGTTTCTCTGATCTGGGCCCCGAGTTACTCTGGGGTTGCTGGCAATGAAGCGGTAGATGAGCTAGCACGAGAGGGCAGCGCTAAAGCATTTGTGGGGCCGGAACTAGCGTTGGTGTATCATTTGCGATGGCCAAATATAGGATTGGACTGTGGGCTGAAGAGAGACTTCGCCTACTGTGGACCAGTTTTCCTGGAATGAGACATGCTAAGGTGTTTATTAATATCGCCACCGTCAAACCCGGGAATATTTTAGGACTTGCTCATAGCAGCATAAAAGTTTTAATGGGTTGAGTTGGGTTGGGCACATTAAAAGCACACTTCAACTTGTTGGATTGAGACGACGATGTTGAATGCCGACTATGTGCGGAGGAAGCAGATACGGTTGAGCATGTTTTATGCCACTGCTCTGCCGTTAACCGTATCAGATTCTCGATTTTTGGGTTGCAGTTTTTATCATCAAAAGATCTGAGCTTTGGACTGCTCGTTGAAGAAGGTTGTAACATGGCATCCGAAACCTCAAACCTTTTCTTAAAAAACGCACGGCAAAACTCGAAAGTTTCTAGTGTGATTTCTAGTTTTAGTTCTAATTTTAGTTCAAATCAAAGATTTAATTTAAACATTTTCATTTATATTAATGTTCAGTTCAATTTGAACACGAGATTAAAAATTTCCATCGAGAAAAATTAATTCGATGATGAATATTTTACGTTCGCTGTCAGAGATTTGGTCAAAAGGGGATTCTTTTTGAGATCAGCACCAGAAATAAATGAGATTTCTTGCAAAACTCGTTCGGGATTAAAGTGGAACTGTAACGCCTTCAGCCGGATATTAAATCACGAAGGGGCGGACTAAAATAGATTATCACGTTTTAGAGTTTCCTTGCACGGACATTGTTTAAAATATTAAGTCATTTTTGATTAGATAATTATAATCGATTATTTTTTAGAACTTCAAATGGGAATATACGGATACGCTTGGGGGAGTGGGATGTTCGAGGACAAGAAGAAAACCTTCCTTACGAAGATTATTCCGTAGAACGTAAAGAGGTCCATCCTTCGTATTCGCCATCCGATTTTAAAAACGATTTAGCTTTGGTGAAACTGGATAGAAATGTTAAATTCAGACAACACATTGTTCCCGTTTGTTTACCGTCGCCGACAGTAAGTTAAATTTTAATACGCTTGACTGATATTTTAAACACAAAGGGAAAATTTAATTGTTTCATAAATTGCTTTTTAGCAAGGTATTAAGTTTATAAATACCACAAAGTAACATAATAAATAAGTAATTTATTTTTTTTTAAGTTAAAATTGCCTGGAAAAAAAGCAACTGTGGCAGGATGGGGTAGAACGAGACATGGGCAAGCAACTGTACCTTCTGTTCTACAGGAAGTGGACGTCGAGGTCATCCCAAACGAACGATGCCAACGCTGGTTCCGGTCCGCGGGCCGGAGAGAAACTATTCATGACGTTTTCCTTTGTGCAGGCTACAAAGAGGTAAAGGAAATTAATCATGAAACGAATTATTTCTAACTAAGAAACTAAAACTATTTACATCATTAATTAATAAGCATTTATTGTTTTTGATAATTACAATTTTCCCCTTAATACATCCTAATATAATATATGTCATTAGCTCCTCCTCCCTCAACTCACTGCACCCATTCAACATATGTTCCAACGTTTCCCATTCCTCCCTGCATAGCCTACACCACCTCTCCTCATCGGCCATCCAGTATCTGTTCGCTCTCTCCTCGTTTCCACAACGGAACCTAGCCACCAACTTCTTCCCTTCCTCATCTCCTTCCAATAACAAGTATCTAGGCAGCCCCTCCGTAATTATGTCCCTGTACCTTTCGTTATACCTCCCCCCTTTTATTTGTGTCCTTCTTTCCTGTCTCTGCACATCTCGGTCCCTATCTCTCAACTCCCTCCACATCTCCCTACCCACCCTTCGTCTACTATTTATCTCAGTTACCGAGTAGCCCGCTCGTCTATAATAGTTGTCTCTGTCTCCTTTCCCATATTTGATTTTTCCCTCTCTAATTTCCCTCCAACACTCCCCCAAGATCACGCAGTTTGGCCTCCCTTCTATTCTTTCTTCATATTTCACTGCTCTCCTGCCCCCCTCCACTCTGACTTTATCCACCTTTACCTCTTCCCTCACTATATATCCCGGTGTTTCTCTCGCCACCCCAAGCACCCATCTCCAGTATCTAGCTTGCACGTCCTCCAGCATTGCCTGCTCTCTCCATCCCCATACCTCTGCTCCATACATCATCACACTGCTAACCAGACCTTCAAACATAATCTTCCTCGCTGCCACATTCCTTCCAAAGACTCTCTTCCCCCAACCCCATACTTGTTCCATCACCTTATTCGCCTTTTTTGCCATAGCTATCACATGCGACCCCTCCCTGTTGTCCTCCCTGAACACATACCCCAAGTAAGTATACTCTCTAACCTCCTCGATCTCTTTTCCCTCCCATCTCCAGTTTTCTGTTCTTTTTCTCCCCCCCTTACAAAACTTCATCATCCTTGTCTTCCCCACATTCACTTCCAGCCCCTTCCCCCTAAAATATCTTTCCAATGTCTTTATCATATCTTTCATCTCCGCCACTTCTCTCGCCATGACCACGATGTCATCCGCGTATGCTAACATATGCACCTTTCTACCTCCCACCACCAACCCTCCCATTTGCCCCTTCCCCAATCTATCCTCCAGGTCCGCCGTATACAGTGCAAACAGACTTGGGCTCAGCGGACATCCCTGCCTCAGTCCCTTCGTCGTCCAAAACACGTCGCTCAGCTTATCTCCCACTTTCATCCTAGCCATAGTCTCCATGTATATTTCCTTCATTCTCGCAATTAGGTGTTCCGTGATCCCCCTCCTCCCCATCTCCTCCCACAACTTTCCCCTATCCACCTTATCAAAAGCCGCCTTCAAATCTATAAACAGAGCGTACAATTTCCCTCCCTTCTTATCCAGCTCTCTATCTGCCAGATGCTTCAACACGTACACGTTGTCGATTGCTCCCCTTCCCTTCCGAAAGCCTGCCTGCCCATCCGGCTAAATTCCCCCCCAACTCCATCTCCTCCTCCAGTCTTCCCAGCAGTATCTTCGTGTATACCTTGTATGCCGAGTCTAGTAGGTTAATTCCTCTGTAGCTTTCTACCCTTCCCTTATTACCCTTTTTATATACTGGGCAAATTACCCCCACTTTCCATCCCTCCGGAATCCCACCCCCTCTCCATACGCTATTCATCCATACCTCGTTCTGGATGCCATCTTCCCCTGGCGCCTTTCCCTTCTTCAATCCCCTAAGCACTGCTTCCATCTCCTCTTCTGCTATCTCCTCTCCCTTATCTCCCTCATAGCCTCCCAAACCCGTTAGCCTCGTTTCAACCTCTCCCAATAATCCCATAAAGTAACTCTTCCATTTTGTCATGTGTATTTCGCTGGTTATCCTCTCCCTTCCCTTCTTTCTCTTTTTCAGATACCTCCAGACCTCCCCTTCCCTTGTTATCCCTCTAATCTCTGCCGCCTCCTTCTCCCTCAGTTCTGTTTTCTTTCTACTGCATAACTCTCTGTATCCTCTCCTGGCCTCCCTATATCTATCCACCCCTATCTTCCCCCGTCTCCACAGCCTCAACCTCCTTCTCGCCTCCCTCTTCGCCTTCTTGCACTCGCCATCATACCAGTCGTTCCTCCCTACTCTACCCCTTCTACTTACACACTCCCTTTTCATTGTTGCCCCCCGCACTACCTGGATAAGTTCTTCCAAACCATTGATCTCTTGTATCTTCTGTTGCCAAGTTTACATCATTAATTAAGTTTCTAATTATTACTAATTTTATAGGGTGGAAGAGATTCATGTCAAGGTGATTCAGGCGGACCATTAACAACAACAGTAGAAGGAAGAAAAACTTTAATAGGTTTAGTTTCTTGGGGAATAGGTTGCGGAAGAGAACAACTACCAGGTGTCTACACAAACATCCAAAAATTTTTACCTTGGATTGACGCGGTTATGAATTGAATTACATCAAAACATTTTGTGCCAGAGTGCTTCCAGAAGTGAATTTAATAATTTATTTTATACTTAATTGTTTAATTTTTCATCAGACACAAACTCTGTGATAAAAATAAACTTTCATCTTTATATTTATTCAAAGTTACCAAGCGGTAGCTAAAATTAAATAGACATCGAAACATTTATAATTAAACAGCCTTATTAATAAATTCACTAACACAACTAGCAGTTAATTAGTAAATACATTTATTAATAAGGTTGTAAATATTTAAATAAGAATAGGTTTTGAACCCAGTTTATTTTAACATCTGTACTTTAGTTTTCACTGTGTAGAAAGCTCGTATTTAAAATAGTCTCAGGTGATTTGGAAGTGAAATGACGAGCTTTTACTCGCGACACAACTCGGATTTCTTTCCTGGGAACGTAAAATGCGGGCGTGTATCATATTATTATTTTGTAATTAGCGTGAAAATAATACAAGAAAAATAAAACCTAGGATTGCGTGATTCAGTCAAGGAAAACCATGTATATCTGTATCAGATACACTGATGTTAGATTAGAGAAAATGTATATTGCAATAAACAGTTTTTTTTAATAATAAATGATTTTTGAATTACGGTGAAATATAATTTTTTTTATAACATATTTTGTAATAAGTCTTGATTTGAATTAATTTAATATTGATTTGAAGATTATTATTTTATTCTTTGAGCAATGTTTGATAAAATATAAAGGTAGTTTTTTTCTAACAGATGTGATTCATATCAGATTTTTTTTTGATAAATCATTTTTGAAAAACCATGTTAAATCTCTTTATAATTTCTTCAATTTACTAAAAAAACGCAACTTTTTCTAAATTGTTATTTAAACTATTTCACATATATAATCGAAAAATATAAACCTAAAACCTATTTTGTTGAATATACGCGAAAATGAGAATCCAATCAATAATTTCTCTTTCAATCATTTTCTTATATTTATCATCGGTAAGTCATTATTAAAATAAGTACAGAATCGTAATTAAGTTTAAATATTTTAGGGACTTTTAATTTTTGATCGAGTCGTGGTTAATTATGCAAACAAATTATTAATTGGAACTTTAGAAATGAAGAATCAACATATAAACAAAACATTCATCGTCGTCCGAACAAAAATGCATTTCCTCAAACCGATAACAAAAACGTCTAAAGTTATCATCGCGATCATTTCTAATCCGAGTAAATTTTTTTATTTTCATCTTTTAGGTAAATATGAAATTATATTTCTTAAGAAATAACATCCCAGCGTATTCCGGTTTTCAATACGATATGGATCTCTGCAATGGAATGGAAAAAAACAGTTTCGGAACTCGTAATCTCGTACAGAATTTGTGTCCGAAATGTAGCAAGTGTCCTATTCCGGCGGTAAACTTCAAATTTAATTTTCTCAATAATGATGAATAATGATTAACTTAAAAAAATAATTTTTCAGGGGTGGTATATTGGCGATATGATTTTTGGCAATATTCAATTACCAGAAGGACTTCTATTTGGGAGTTATATGAGCAAAATTGCCTTATTTACGCAAGATACGGTTAAAGCATTTGAAATATCAATTTGGCTAAAAAATGAGGAAATAATTAAATGAAGAATTTCCCGTATGACTTTTTTTTTTAAATGTAGTAGATCAAAGAATTATTGTTAGTGTGAAATTATACTCAAGGTCGTGTTTTCTTTTAATACCCTATATACAGTGAATTTCACTTAAGATGCAATATACAAAAATATATTTCTATAGAAACAATGGCGTACCTACTTACTTTCTACCACTTAAATTGCAACATGTTTGAATGTTTCTGGTTGTAGGTCTAATATCAGTTCTAGTGATAGTGGTAGATAGCACTAGTTAACATAAGATATCACTATGTTGTATATTTTTATTGCACTAAAACTAGAACTAACACTAGACCTAGAACTAGCAAGTATTGGGTTTCGTGCGTCTGAAGACGCACGGCTAAACCCGAAGGTTTCTAGTTCTAGGGTTAGTTCTAGTTTTGTATTAGCACTATCACTTGAACTAACACAAGACCTGGAACTAGAATCATTCGAGTTTAGCCGTCTTGAGAGACGTGCGGCTAAACCGGAATGTTTCCCAGTTCTCGGTCTACTGTTAGTTCTAGTTTTGCACTATCACTTGAACTAACACAAGACATGGAACTAGAATCATTCGGGTTTAGCCGTCTTGAGAGACATGAGACTAAATCCGAATGTTTCTAGTTCTCGGTCTAGTGTTTGTTCTAGTAACAATGGTAGGTAGCACTAGTTAACATAAGATATCATTATGTTGCATATTTTTATTGCACTAAAACTAGAACTAACACTAGACCTAGAACTAGAAAGTATCGGGTTTAGCCCTGCGTCTTCAGGCGCACGGCTAAACCCGAATATTTCTAGTTCCAGGTCTAGTGTTAGTTCTAGTTTTGCACTGGCACTATCACTTGAAGTAACACAAGACCTGTAACTCGAATGATTCGGGTTTAGCTGTCTTGAAAGACGTGGGGCTAAACCCGAATGTTTCTAGTTCCAGGTCTAGTGTTAGTTCTACTTTTGCACTAGCACTATCACTTGAAGTAACACAAGACCTGTAACTAGAATCATTTGGGTTTAGCTGTCTTGAAAGACGTGGGGCTATTATTATTATTATTGCTGCCGGGCTGAGGAGGGCGGCCCCTCTCGTTACCGCGACCTATAAGATTTATTGTAACTTTAGCCCTCCAAAGGTTTAGGGCAAATGTAGGTCCTTAATGAACCTTAGTATTGTCCTGAGGTCTTGACCTTTTATGTCGGTAGGTAACAGGGGAGTTTTACCGAAGACGTTGTGCCTTAGACGGCCTCTGGCGACGCAATTGCACAGTATATGTTCAGCAGTTTCTGACTCGTCGTTGCATAGTCGACAAGTTTGATCCTCAGCTTGTCCAATGTGGAAGAGGTGGTATTTTAGGGGCACATGGCCGGTTAGGTAGCCTGAGAGCGTTCTTAGATCCCCTTTGCTGAGGCATAAAACCTCTTTGGTTTTGTTTTGCGACGGAGTTATCATACTCTTCGCTTGTCTGTGACCTGGAAGTTCTTTCCAGCGTAAGGCTATCTTTGAAGCCTCCCAGTTGTTGATTATTTGTTTTAGGTGGCTTTTTTGTAGTCCACATCCAGGTTGGGGTCCAATGAAGGGCGTGTTTGCTGCCTCTTTGGCCAGCTTGTCGGCCTTCTCATTGCCCTCAATGTTGCTGTGACCTGGAACCCACCATAGGGTAACATCATTGCCCCTAGCGAGTTCTCTCAGGTTGTTGGTGCACTCTCTGATCAGTGCGGAGCCACACGTGTAGGCCTGAATTGCCTTTAAGGCGGCCCGACTGTCTGTGAAAATGTTTATGGATGCACCTTTTTGTCCCTTCTGTAGGTTCAAAGCGGTGCAGAAGTTTATAGCAAGAACTTCTGCTTGGAAAATTGTTAAGTCCGAGCTGAGGGGCAATTTGATGTGGCTATTTGGTCCACTGATGCCCATGCCTACTCCAGATCTTACTGTCTTTGAAGCATCGGTGTACCAGGCTAGGGCTCCTCTTTTTAGTTGAGGCCCTCCTTTCGCCCAATCATCCCTGCTACTAAATATGACCTTATACGGTTGGTTGAAATTGTATTCCGTCGGTATAAGGTCCGTTTTAATTTCAATCAGGTGATTTAGACATGGGTCTTTGAGGATCTCGAGGTGTCCTCTGAGGTTACCCTGCATCAACTTGAGTGAAGAAACTGTTTTCAGTGATAAGGCACTTAAGGCTGCCTCCTTTTGTATATATATGTGGAGCGGTGTGAGACCGAGTAGGGCTTCCAAAGCAACCGTCGGATAGGATCTCATTGCACCCGTTATGTTAAGACATGCTAACCGCTGGATTTGTGCCAGCTGTTGTTGAGCTGTCTTATGTTTTGTTTTTGGCCACCAAACCAATGAGGCGTAGGCGATCATGGGTCTGATTATTGCTACGTAGGCCCAATGAGCCATTCGTGGTTTGAGACCCCAGTTCCTTCCTAGGAGCCTGCGGCAGATCTGGTTTGCCATGATGGCCTTTTTCCTCACCTTATCTAAGTGTGAGTTCCAGTTTAGTTTACTGTCAAGTATTACCCCTAGGTATTTAGTTTCTGTTTTGAGGTTAATAGTTCTGCTTTCAATGGAGGGTGCTTTTATTTGTTGCTTCCTTCTCCGAGTGAAAGGGACTATTTCGATTTTATTGGGATTGATGCTGAGCCCATTGCTTCTGCACCAAGGAGGTGGGGCTAAATCCGAATGTTTCTAGTTCTCGGTCTAGTGTTAGTTCTAGTTTTGCACTAGCACTATCACTTGAAGTAACACAAGACCTGTAACTAGAATGATTCGGGTTTAGCTGTCTTGAAAGGCGTGGGGCTAAACCCGAATGATTCTAGTTCCAGGTCTAGCGTTAGTTCTAGTTTTGCACTAGCACTATCACTTCAAGTAACACAAGACCTGGAACTAGAATCATTCGGGTTTAGCCGTCTTGAGAGACGTGCGGCTAAACCCGAATGTTTCTAGTTCTCGGTCTAGTCTTAGTTCTAGTTTTGCACTAACACTATCACTTGAAGTAACACAAGACCTGTAACTAGAATCATTCGTGTTTAGTCGTGCTTTTTTTAAGATGGCCGAAAACTCAGGGTTATTACCTTTTTCCAAGCAAAACTTTTCCTTTGCAAAACTACCTAATGCCTGTACTATTAAGCTATGTTGCATTTTATTTGCCTCATTTCTAAGAAATACATGTCAAGTCAATCCTACCTAAAAATAAGAAGTTATAAAACATACTACACCACTTACCCGACAGTCAAGTTTTTCGAAGAATGCCATCAATGTTACAGGAAGATTGATAGGAAAATCTTTCTGTAACACTGATCACATTGCTGGTTAAATATTTTAAATTGATACAAATTACATTATAATTTTTTTTACTTCTACCTCGATTGCACCGATATTACATTATTATTATCTAATTTGCTCAATTATTTCACTATTATTCAGTAAATTACTCATAGCAAACCTCCACGTATAAAAAATGTAACCGATTAACCTGACCTTATCAATAACTAAAAAAACTCACAATGAAGCTTAAATTAATTTTACTTTTTTTCACGTGCTTGTATTTTATTATTACAGTAAACGTAAGTCTCTAAAATTTCATTGAAACATACTATATCTGGATCTTGTAGACCGAAAATCAAATATTATTTAATCGTGGTTTGGTGACTAACTTGAACAAAGCTTGTGTTGACAAAGCTGATTGGAAAACAAGACATTTCAATAAGACCTATTCCGTTTTCAGTATTAAAATGCATTTTCTACTACCAATGACGAACACTGCCAAAGTAATTGGTAATATTCTTAATTGAACTTGATGAAAATTATTTCTTTTTAGATTAATACCAAAGCTTATTACATTAGAAACAATGTACCATTATTTTCCGGAATTCAATTTGACGTTCCATTGTGTAAGGCATTATCCAGTAATGCTTTCGGATGTCGAAACATACTGTCTAATTTCAATATTTTCAAAGAAAATCAAGTATTTGTATGTCCTTGGAAAGCCGTAAACTATTATTACAGATTAAACTCATTGTTTTGAATAATAATGTGTGTTTTAGGGTTGGTTAATAGGCGACATGAAATTTGACGGGGTTCGTTTACCAAGTGGAGTACCACCTGCAAGTTATTTGATGAACGTTACGTTAATTTTAGGAGATGTTCTATGTTGGACGATATCTGTGTGGGTGGACATAGTTCCAGTACTTGAGTGATTTAAATTTCAATGATTTCGCCTTCTAGGCATTAAATTATCGGAGATTTTCAACACAGATTTGGGTTTATCTAAAAATTAGTCCAAGAATAAAACAGAAAATATTTTTTAAGTATTACGAATTGCTTTTTTGATTAAGGTCTATACCAAAATAGAAATATTCCTCAGATTATTTTAATTGATATACAAAAGTTCTGTTAAAGATTTTAGACTGTCAATAATCGTTTAACATCAAAAAATAATAGTCATAATTCATACGTCAAATTTAATATGTAGTCGATAAAATTCATTGTTTAAATTCAAAATCATCAGTGTTTGAAGCAAATTTCTTTATCATAGCAAAGTAACATATTAATGTCCTGAAAAGTCGTGCAATGTGGGAACAATGGAAGCTGTTGGCAATCGCTCTCGTGGGCGCTGGAACTGGGTGCAGCATCCTGCTGCTGGGGCACCTGCGGAAGCGGAAGCAAATAGTGCAACTCGACAAGCAGGTGGAGAGGTTGAAACAGGACATGATGAACTTGCGGTTAGAACTCGAGTACTTGCGCATAGAGAACGAGAAGCTCAAGAAGCGACGACAGGCTCCCGTCGAGAGGGTGTGTCGCATCTCTGCATCACGTGAAGATAGCTACACGTGTCGGTACAATGCGTCTGAACGGTCTTCTTCACAGTTTGTCTCGCAGGATCCCAGCAGTAAACGCGTTTTTTATCCCATCATTGAAGAAACTTATTATTCCACGTTTAACTACTGATTTTGTCAAGATATATTTTATGGTTATAATAAAAATTATAAATGTTTTTTTTTTCATTTCTTTATTGGTTTCCCGAAGAAATTGATGATTCCTGTTAAATGGCGGTGTCAAAGGAGTTGCCTAAGAGAAAGGTAAGAAGTTACGCTGTGATTTCTTGGACTGAAATGGTTGTAAATTTGAAGGGGGCACCTGCACAGGGAGCCGGCAATTCTTTTACAACTCGATCACTGAAGTAAATATCTAACGGTACCTCCCCTCCAGGAGTACCTGCACCAACGTTACGTCGCTGAGGAGGTTGTCGACCCTCCGCGTGCTTTTTCACCGGTGGCAGAAGAAGAACCTTCTTCTTATATTAGTACCATACGAGCTCCGCAGCGGTCATAGTCGCGTCCCTGGAGATGACCACCAGGCTACAGCGCGCGTATATTTGAATCCAAAGAGCGCGCACTAATCGAAACTCCTACAAAACCATGCGCACTCTTAGATAGTGAACTTAGTTTGTTGAAGAAGTTGTTAAACCATTGTTATTATTATTATTATATTAATTATTATTAACAATAATTTATTACGAGACTACCGTCGCGACATAATTTGTTATTATTTGTTTTAAATCCTATATCTAGTCCTTAGAAGGTAAGTCATTTTTTTTTTGGTTATTTATTTACATATAATTTTTGTTTGTACTTTTTGTCACATTAAAATATAGGTTTTTTTCTTACCAACTATTTTTCCGTTCCGTTATTCGTCGCGATTGTCACTTCAAACATACAGTTAGATCTATTTATACATACAATGTTGATCGGTCCACGATGAGATCGAACACTTGCAGAATGTTGAATGAGGAGTCAGGATGTTTCCTGGTTAGCAAAACTAGTCGTGCGTAACTTACCATTTTTGACGTACTCTTAGGTTCTAGTAATTCTCTATTGTTGAAATTCTTAAGCTAAAAACAATTTAAAGGATAATTTCAATCTGTTTAAAAAAAACATTCTCAGGTAAAATTAAGCTCAGGTGTCATTGGACAAAAGATGAAATGAGGAAACTTTCACCCCCTTGTTAACAGGACATGACCTATACAATAGTTGTAAAGAATACGCGGGTTACACAGAGAAAGTAAATACCATTTAAATTCTTTTAGTTATGGTGGTTGCCAAAAATGTGGATAAATTTTAATAATTTTATGCTAGTTTATTATGTGGTTAGATTAAAAACCCCACTTAACACTTGAAACTTTTAATTTAACACGCAGCGAATTTAACCAGTTTTAATAAACTGCCTCTTGGAATCTCATTAATACTACGTAAGTTTTTATATAACACTGTTTTTATATAAATTTCAATTAATAACGTGAAAATCATAGCTTCTATCTTAAATCAATTTGAAAGTTTGTGTGCTAAATGAATTTGTGTGTTAGGAGTTAGGAAATTGGGCACCTTCCGCCGTGACACCGTTTCCTTAACGAAGTGCAATTCCATTTACAGTTTCTGACACGTAACCAGCCTTGTCCGGTCCATAACCAATGTCACCCATTAACTAAATTAACAGTTTACTTAAAAGCAGAAAGTTTCAGATTGAATTTTGTCCTAAATTCTATTGGATTCTTAAACAAATTTGTTAAAGTAAGTTGTGTTAATTGCGTCCGGATGGGTATAGACAAGGGCAGGTTGGTTTTAATTGTGTCTCAAGGTAGACTACCCGCCGTAACCAAGGTGGGGAATCTTCTGCTGGTAAACCCGGGTAATTATATTTGCTTGAAAAACGGCGGAGACGCTTCTACCGGACGCTCGAAGAGAAAAAGAAGCACATTGTCGACGGGTGAACAATGGTCTTGAGAAGATTAACCGCTAAGATTTTAATCTGAACGCTAATTTTTTGTTGCTACTTTTTCATTTCGTCGATCCATGCCGAGATAATTTGTTTAAATCGTGCGAATGGTTATAACAAAAAATGGGTTCTTTAAACTCCCACGTTGAAACTTCCTAATCATTTTCTTGCAAAACTTTAGCAAAACATTATTGCCTGATACTTTTTTTTAGATATAATGACAGGTTGTAAAACGACTTTATAACGCGTCGAAACATCTTCGCATTAACTATAATTAAATTTCCGACTTAATGAGAAACCGACATATTCGTTTTGATTTTATTGACGCGTATACATATGCTGTAATAATTAGCGACTAGTTCACACAATAATTTTCTATACAGTGAATTTCACTTAAGATGCAATATACAAAAAATTATTTCCATAGAAACCAGTGCTGAATAACAAATAAAACTAGACTAATACTAGGATTAGAATTAACACTAAGTAGAAAAAACATTACATTTAGCTGCACCTCTCTTAATATAGTTGGCAAGTAGCAGATAGCGTTAGTTAGCATAAAATATCACTATGTTGCATATTTTTATTGAACTAAAGCTAGAACTAACACTAATCTAGTCTAGTGTTAGTTCTAGTTTTACACCACTATACGCTAGCACTATCACTAGAACTAACACTAGACCGAGAACTAGAATCATACGGGTTTAGCCGTCTTGCAAGACGTGCGGCTAAATCCGAATGTTTCTAGTTCTAGGTCTAGTGTTAGTTCTACTTTTACACTAGCACTATCACTAGAACTAATACTAGACCGAGAACTACAATCATTCGAGTTTAGCCGTCTTGAAAGACATACGGCTAAATCCGAACGTTTCTAGTTTTAGGTCTAATGTTAGTTCTAGTGACAGTGGTAGATAGTGCTAGTTANGCAGGTTGGTTTTAATTGTGTCTCAAGGTAGACTACCCGCCGTAACCAAGGTGGGGAATCTTCTGCTGGTAAACCCGGGTAATTATATTTGCTTGAAAAACGGCGGAGACGCTTCTACCGGACGCTCGAAGAGAAAAAGAAGCACATTGTCGACGGGTGAACAATGGTCTTGAGAAGATTAACCGCTAAGATTTTAATCTGAACGCTAATTTTTTGTTGCTAGTTTTTCATTTCGTCGATCCATGCCGAGATAATTTGTTTAAATCGTGCGAATGGTTATAATAAAAAATGGGTTCTTTAAACTCCCACGTTGAAACTTCCTAATCATTTTCTTGCAAAACTTTAGCAAAACATTATTGCCTGATACTTTTTTTTAGATATAATGACAGGTTGTAAAACGACTTTATAACGCGTCGAAACATCTTCGCATTAACTATAATTAAATTTCCGACTTAATGAGAAACCGACATATTCGTTTTGATTTTATTGACGCGTATACATATGCTGTAATAATTAGCGACTAGTTCACACAATAATTTTCTATACAGTGAATTTCACTTAAGATGTAATATACAAAAAATTATTTCCATAGAAACCAGCGCTGAATAACAAATAAAACTAGACTAATACTAGGATTAGAATTAACACTAGACCTAGAAGTAAAAACATTACATTTAGCTGCACCTCTGTTAATATGGTTGGTAAGTAGCAGATAGCGTTGGTTAGCATAAAATATCACTATGTTGCATATTTTTATTGAACTAAAACTAGAACTAACTAGTCTGAAGACGCACGGCTACACCCGAATGTTTCTAGTTCTAGGTCTAGTGTTAGTTCTAGTTTTACACTACTATACACTAGCACTATCACTAGAACTAACACTAGACCGAGAACTAGAATCATACGGGTTTAGCCGTCTTGCAAGACGTGAGGCTAAATCCGAATGTTTCTAGTTCTAGGTCTAGTGTTAGTTCTAGTTTTACACTAGCAATATCACTAGAACTAATACTAGACCGAGAACTAGAATCATTCGGGTTTAGCCGTCTTGAAAGACATACGGCTAAATCCGAACGTTTCTAGTTCTAGGTCTAATGTTAGTTCTAGTGACAGTGGTAGATAGTGCTAGTTAGCATAAGATAGGTATCACTATGTTGCATATTTTTATTGAACTAAAACTAGCACTAACACTAGACCTAGAACTAGAACTAGAATCATACGGGTTTAGCCGTCTGTCAAGACGTGCGGCTAAATCCGAATGTTTCTAGTTCTAGGTCTAGTGTTAGTTCTAGTTTTACACTAGCACTATCACTAGAACTAACACTAGACCGAGAACTACAATCATTCGGGTTTAGCCGTCTTGAAAGACATACGGCTAAATCCGAATATTTCTAGTTCTAGGTCTAATGTTAGTTCTAGTGACAGGGTAGGTACTGCTAGTTAGCATAAGATAGGTATCACTATATTGCATATTTTTACTGAACTAAAACTAGCACTAACACTAGATCTAGAACTAGCACTAGAATCATACGGGTTTAGCCGTCTTGGAAGACGTGCGGCTAAATCCGAATGTTTCTAGTTCTAGGTCTAGTGTTAGTTCTAGTTTTACACTAGCACTATCACTAGAACTAACACTAGATCGAGAACTACAATCATTCGGATTTGGCCGTCTTGAGTGACTAGGTCTAGTTTAGTTCTAATTTTAATACTTATTCAGTCTTAGATTGTGGTATATTTTTATTGAACGAAAAGTAGAACTAATACTAGACCTGGAAAAAACTATGAAAAATAGTAGGAAAAGTGCCACTTTTGATATTAAATTTTACCTAAAATATTCTAACAAGAGAACTTCTCAACCGATTTCGACAAACAATATTTCATTCAAAAGCTTAATCATTGGCCAATACGGAAGTGGAAATGCTTGATTCGAAATCTCCTTTGAATTCCGCTAAAACGTCTTACAAAGGTATACGAAAATAACACAAAAATGACCTTTTTTAGATGGTCATATCTCGTAAACGATGTACTCGATGATCAAGATCTATACGTTATTCGATTCACAATGGTTTTTTTTATCGAAATTACAAAATGCCCGATCTCAATTCATTCCCGTTAGGCTTGTATAGCCCTCAGAATGACACCGTGATCGGGTCATTCTTTATACACGTATGGACGCTCACGATATCATCTAATTCACCTATGTATTCGAATTTTTTGCGATATTTATGCATCTGATTGTGGGAGCAAAAGTGTAAAAAAGCAATATTGTTAAGAATAAAATTGGCTACAACTTGTATACTAAAACTTTTTTTCTAAAATGTTCCGAATCCCGTGCTTGGATTAACTAAATTAATGTTTTTTATTGGGGGCTAACTTCTTTGATGTGGATGAATTACTTTAAGGCATACTTAAAGATAAAATTTCTCCTAAAAGGAAAAGAACTCACGCGTGTGAGAGCTAGGAACTTAGAAGCAACGGTTTGTGAAGTCGTGAACGTCCAACCTAAGCACGTCCAATGTCCGGCACCGGCTGATATATGGACCAATTAAGTCTAGCGTTATGATGCACGAGGTCGGTTAATTACTCTCCAGTCTTTAAGAAAAGACTCGCGCATAACTTTACGTGAATTTATCTTTACCGTGTGATCGTCTTGGACCAAGGCTAAACGTTTGCACGAGTTTTAAATGGTTCTGATTTAATGATCACTGATGGTCATTAAGAGAAGAACTAAGTCTACAAAATATTCAATGCAATTATAAATTAATATAATAATTCAAAATGTGAATTATTATATTAAACGCGTTTCATTCAAATTTTATTAAATTAACATTTATAATAATTAAGCAGATACCTAATTCGCTAAATTAACATTTTATAGTATATAAACGCATCAAATTATTGTTGTCAACCATCAATTATTCATTATAACCAATCAATACGGAACACATCGCTAAAAGTAACGCATGCAACTTCGATAGAATATGTTGAATGGATGAATAAAACATTGTTTTTGGGTAAAGTTCTGGTATCTGTTTAAGTTATGCATTTAAGCTCGGAATATTCAATACAAAGTGTGATACAAGCTCGATAATAAGTTCCCGTAATCGCCGTAACTGTCTCGCGTATATGGAAAATACATGCGAAAATGTGCTAGTGAATGCCTAGGGTAGAGAAAGGGTGTCGTTATTAGAGAATTCCTTTACTACAGAGACACTTCCGCGCTTTGTATAAAGTTTCAGAACCGTTACGGTCGATGAATGTTCGACTCGAGAAATATTAAATTTTTAAAAATTCATTTCTTTTTTGTTTGGGATGAAATCATTTTTAATGTGTTTTTCTCGTTTTTCTAATTAAAACCCGTTCAAACACACTAATTAAGATACCAAATAAATCTATTTCACCGCCTTAACATTGGTTTGTCCTTATACGATTAGCAGATAGCGTTAATTACGTCAAATATGGGATCCGGCGATCAATGACCTGAACGTCATAAGCTTAGAAACAACATAAAAAATAAACGTGTACGAAGAAAAAAGCAAAAGCAAGCGTGAATAAATAAAATAGACGATGATGGTTTATTAAGATCCCTTCAAACTGAACAAGCGTGAGATGACTCGCCAATTTATGATGACTTATTCGTGTTAGATTTCGCTGAATGTTTCAATTAATTGATGTCTCTTCTCCGAACTAAGAACTTAACCTTTTACTATTAATCATTTTTTTTAATTTGTTACAGATGTTGCCAATAATTGTGTTAACTGTAGCCTATTTCTTTACAACCATAGAATCATCGCCTGTATATAACATGCAACCAGCTTACATCACTGCCAATATTGGTGAGTTACTCTTATTTTAACTTAATTTTTCTTTATTTTATTTAATTCCTTGTGGTTATAATCGGTATTTTCGAGAATTCGTGTCGCGAACTTTTCCAAGAGTGAATCAGCATTGTTCGGACAACAAAAACACGGCTGCTTTTGTTGTGCCACTTTCAGCAGGAAACGGTCCACCTTCTCCACGAACCTGATTGAATCATTAGTATCGTCAGGTGATTTCACAATCCATCTCCATTAACAGATGGGCAGTTTCAAATTACATCTAATTTTCTAGATTTTTGTGAAATGAATGGAATGGGAAAAGGGTGGTGAAGCTGCCAAGAGAAAACCGTAATGTTAGTGAAGTAAAATTCCGGTAACCCAGTTAGCATACAAGGAAACGAAAACCGACGACGTTCGTCGAAGGAACTGGAATGTACCGTTTTGCAGGTGTAGGTGAAATACACTACATACACAAAAACGACCTTCAAGTTGTTTTTAATCATTTTCTTGAAAATATGACAAACGAAACGAAATATAAGAAAAAGGTTCGCCATAAACCAGTTCCTTTCAATGGGAGCAGCAGCTCCAATAACATAAATTTCACCTTGCCAATGATTCACAGCGTCGGCGTCTATCTTCCGCAAAAAAAGTTCCCGACACAGCACTTCGTTCAGAATAATTCATATTCCGCCCACGTGCTTCACGTCTTCAGCTGAAGTTCCATTCGACCTCATTCCGTTTAGTGTCACACAGACCTATTGGACGCCGTGCCCATACGTACTCGTATGCAGAAGAGAACCGTTACGTAACAATACACATTCGTATGTTACCGCCAAAGGAGATATTCACGCAAGAGATGTCATCTAAATTAAAAATTGTAGAACTAAAGAAGTCTTTAACGTTTATACAAACAGGAAAAATAAAGGAAATACTATTGATGAATGTTTGGTACTCTAGTAAATAGGGAAATGTGTTTACTTGTACTTAGTTAACTGTTTATGGCATGTGCAGTTAGTCGGAAGGTGATAAGATCGTAGCAGGAAGGCGCAGCTAATTTTTATGATACCCGGACATAAAAACGTTTAAATATTATTTGTAAAGTTTCTCTAAGTATAATTTTCTTTTTAAATTTATGGGACTAATAAATCTAGCTGTAACTAATTTTTCGGATGGTGAATATTTCTTGAGACAAAGACAAGATGTTAGCATATTCTTTCCTATGTAGCACGTAAGTTATTGAAGTAATATATGATTACAGCAACATTCTGGGTAACGATAATCTTCTCATATGTTCATAATTCATTATTATTAAAATTACTTATTCTTTGGCAGCTTTCCCACCTAATAATTTTACTATACTTGACGATGAAATAACATATAATTAAAATCTAAATGCAATAAAACATGTGTGTATTTATAGATGGATTCTTTTAATTTTAGCTCTACCGGTTTCGATCAATACATTTAATCATCTTCAGGAGCAACGTCAGTAAATATATTTCCAAAAGACATATTTGTTAGTTAATTAAGCTGTTATCCTCTTACTCTTGATCCTTTAACTCTTCTTTTCTTTAAAAAAAAAAAAAACTAAAGTAAAGAAACGCATGGCGCATATTGTTGCATGGTAGGCTTATTGGATATTTCTGAATAACTGGATAACAAGGAAAAGAAGAGTTAAAGGATCAAGAGTAAGAGGATAACAGCCTAATTAACTAACAAATATGTCTTTTGAAAATATATTTACTGACGTTGCTCCTGAAGATGATTAAATGTATTGATCGCAACCGGTAGAGCTAAAATTAAAAGAATCCATCTATAAATACACACATGTTTTATTGCATTTAGATTAAATTTGAGATGGAAAGAAATAACCAAATAAATATTATACAGGGTGTTCATTTCAAAACTTTCCACCTCAATTTCTGTAAATCCGGAAGTTTAAAAAGAAAATCGCTGAAATTGGTAAAGCATAAAACCAAGGGGGACAACTTTTTATGCAAAAATTGACTCACTCACTTCAACCCCCCGCCGCCAGAAACCAACCTCTTAAAAATCTTAAATGGAAAGGGGTGTCAAGTGATACCTCATTTTAAAGGTCTTTTAAGGTACTACATGTTAGTATTTATTTTTTTTAAATTGATCGATTCGTTTTCGAAATTTTTGCGAAAATCTTTGTTTTGTATTTCCCGCTTTAATTAATATTAAAAACTTTAATCACCTTCTTAAAAGCAAGAATAAGTAATCTTTTATTATTAATTTATAAAATTAAATTACCATGTTCGTTTTTACAACGACCATTAAACCTTTATTATTTCGGAGCAATCGGAAATATTTAAGAAAACTAAACACGTATAATTATGAATTAAACTAAATTTTATTGAAAGTATTTTACATTAAACCTGTATGAAAATTACTCTTGACTCGAATGGCCAAAAAAAGGAAAAAAAGAGACGAAATTTTTCTCTTTCTATAAACGAGTTATAGGCAGGCTCACAGTGCGAGAAAAGAATAAAATAAAAGTGCAATTCTAAACATAAGTTTATTTGGTTATTACTTAAACAACTTTGTGTTATCCACTTAACAAAGTTATTTAAATAAAACAGCAATAATGGTTTACAGTTTGCAGGAAAGGATTGAAATTGTATTAATGTATGGATCCCAAAATGAATGTGCTCGACGAACTGCCGCAGTTTTTAATGAAAGGCATCCAGATCATGAAGAAATTCACTCAGACTGGGTCCGTTGCCAACATAAAACATAATGAGTCGAGAGTTTTGAATGAAACCGCTCAACTGGAAGTGTTGGGTCATTTCGGTATCAACCCCAATACTTCATTGCGTCAGGTATCTCGTGCAACTGGTATATCCTTGGGTTCTGTTCATAAAGTTGTAAAACTTCACAAATTCCATCCTTATAAATTGAAAATACATCAAGAGCTAACTGAAGACGATTTTGACAGGAGAATACAGTTTTGTGAAGAAGTGACCACTATTATTAATAATAACAACGTTTTTGTGAAAAATATCTGCTTTAGTGATGAATGCACTTTTTCTTTAAATGGATTTGTAAATAAACATAACTGCAGATATTGGAGTAATGAAAACCCTCATCTGACTGTAGAAGGGCATACACAATATCCTGAAAAAGTTAATGTATGGGCCGGCATTTTGGGAGACCAAGTGATTGGTCCAGTGTTTATCGATGGAAATTTAAACGGCGAAGTGTACTTGGATATGTTAGAAAATACTATCAATCCACTAATTACGGAAGCTCTCGAGAATCAGTTGGATAGAGAAGAAAATGCCTTACTTGATGAGAATGAATTACATTTTCAACAAGACCAATCTCAGTAGTTCTCCCAGTACGACAGTGGTTAGATAATACGTTTCCAAACAGATGGATAGGACGAAGAGGTCCTATAGAATGGCCAGCCAGATCACTACATTTGACGCCATTAGACTTTTTTTTATGGGGTCATTTAAAGTCTGTTGTATTTACCCCTCAATCTCAAAATTTAGAAGGACTTCGTCAGAGAAGTTTTTGAAAATGTGCGCCGTAGTTTTGAACAACGGTTGTACCATTGTTTAGCTAATAACGGACAACACTTTGAACAATTATTAAGTTGATTTTCTCTGCAAAAAGTTTTTGTACATAATTAAATAACTGAAAATAAAATAGAACGTTTCAAGCAGTTAAAAGTTGTTTAAGTAATAATCAAATAAACCTAAAAGAAAAGAAAAATGAAACAGAAATTGTTTTTTCTAAATATCTCTGACAGACGCCAGACGTAGATATATCATTGTCAAAATAACCTAAATATCAAAGATTTCGGATTGCTCCGAAATAATAAAGGTTTAATGGTTGTTGTAAAAACGAACATGGTAATTTAATTTTATAAATTAATAATAAAAGATTACGTATTCTTGCTTTTAAGAAGGTGATTAAAGTTTTTAATATTAATTAAAACGGGAAATACAAAACAAAGATTTTCGCAAAAATTTCGAAAACGAATCGATCAATTTAAAAAAAATAAATACTAACATGCAGTACCTTAAAAGACCTTTAAAATGAGGTATCACTTGACACCCCTTTCCATTTAAGATTTTTAAGGGGTTGGTTTCTGGCGGCGGGAGATTGAAGTGAGTGAGTCAATTTTTGCATAAAAAGTTGTCCCCCTTGGTTTTATTCTTTACCTATTTCAGCGATTTTCTTTTTAAACTTCCGGATTTACAGAAATTGAGGTGGAAAGTTTTGAAATAAACATCCTGTATAATTAAAACATCGACTTATCAACAGTTCACATTAAAACTTTCCTAATAACCTAGATAATGTTTAAACTCTTCTTCACAATTTCCTGTAATATTAGGAAATTTTTTGGGGTTTCGACATTTACTGTTTTCAAAGTATTTTTTAACATGGACAAATTTGATAAATACAGATACTTGGAAACAGATTCTTAATTCATTCTATATAGTAAAATTCGCAAATGTGGTCAGCCTTCACGTTGGCCAATACCAATTATATTCTACAGTTAACTTGAAATTACCTCAAGATTTACTGATATATGACTCACAGAGGCGAATGATGATGTGAATACACATCATGCGATATCTGAGTGATGTTTAATTCTATTTATGACTCAAACTTTGATATAAGATAATGTAATTGTTGAGCTTGTTTTTTTGGAGAATGGGAAAAAAATTTCACTTCATACCAACTGCACATTTTTCAACAATTGATTTATACAAGAAAGTCAATTTATTCATTCATTATAACTTTCTAAAATTTAAGGGAGATTATTTCAACAAAAATTAAATGATATTTTAACAATACGTCATCCCAACTTTCTACATTACTCATTCTCATAAACAAATATCTTATATGCGGGACAGTGTTCACTTTCTACATTATTGTTTGTAAGTTTGTTTTAAACATCGATGGGAAATGGCACAGTTACCTCTTTCGATCATCACCAAGCATAATTTTGTACCTTAAAGTGCTCTCGTTTTTGTGTTATGAATGGGGTTATTGTAACCGTAGTATCATAGCGGTTTAGGTTACCCAATTAGGATGAGTTATAAACACAATGAGGCAACAAAGCGTACTAAATATAAAATAAAATCTCCGGACCGTGAAGTTGCTTTAAAATTAAAACGTTTTCTTTACTGTATTATTTCATGAGCCATTTATACACATTACGTTCTTTGCTCAATAGGTGTTCTTCGGGGCAATTAAAATGTACCGCTATATATAAATGATTAAAGAAAAAATTGTTGTCAAGTTGGCACGGTTACCTTTTCCATTTATATCGCTGCTGGAATTTCCGATATACAATTTCTCTTGCATTGTGGAATGTGTGAATGAACTACATATTGTATGGGGAAACACTGTCCGTGACAGTGACACTGTTCTTGCAAAATTGTAATAAAGAATTGAACTTAATGATATAAGGCGGCTCTACAACGAATCAAACATTATTTGCAAATGTACACTCGCATTAGTTAAATAATTCATAGAGCTGGTGAAATGGTAGTGCTCCATTTGCGTCTTTCAGGCACGCGTTATTACAACTCTCCTCCTCTCCCGAGCGTTCGATACTTCCACTGGGCCAAGGTAACGGGACCTAAAGCCCCAGATAGAGGAAGGAGGAGCTCTGCCGGATGCTGGGCAAAGGAAGAGAGAGAAGGAACAAGTCAGCTGTTTGGAGAGGAATGCGCACACCGTTACATAATGGGCATCAATGAACACACAACACTGCAAAACTGCTTCATCTCACTCATCACATTCGTTTATGGCACCCGAATTTTAATTCGTTTTAATTTAATTTTATGATTGCGATTCCGTGTATGCCACTTAGGAATGCGTAAGAGGGCGTTGTAGGTCAGTGTGGAACCCGTTAGTGGAACCCGTGTCTCTTCAAGGTCATCGGAGACATGATCCAAAAGTGGGTCAGGATTTTTGGAAGTTGACTCATTCGAGAACTTAATAGAAATCTTTCAACTTCTCTCTTTCAATTTTAACCGTTAGTTTCTTGCTAATTCTATTTTTATTGTTTTTAGGTACAACAGGAAGAAATATTAGAAATCTTCCGTGTATATCAAGAAAAAATAGTCTGAGCGGAGTTTGCATGTTCGCCATCGATTGCTTCAAGGCTAATGGAACTCACTTAGGCACCTGCATCGACAGGTTTTACTTCGGTTCTTGCTGCCACATCGAATCCATATCGAATGACATCGATAACAATATCGAACTTGCTCTTTTCCCGGATAAACACCGAGACCCTCCTTTAAAATTGGATACCACAGAAAAATTAGACGGAGAAACTTCTTTAGCTACCACAATCAATCCAGAAAAATATACGCAAACTTCGACAAATTTAGCAAATATCTCCACTAGTGTTAGTAGTAGTACTTTACAAGAACTAAGACAGAAACCAACACAGAAAACGACAACGAAACCAACCGCTAAAATAACTACAACTACTTCTCCAACTCCTCCAACAACAATAACTACTTCAACAACAACTACCCCAATAACTACAACTACTCCAACAACTACAGTTACTCCATCAACTATAATTCCAACAACAACTCTCATAACCACATCAACGAAAAAAATAACGACTCCAACACCAACATCAACTACAACTACGCCCACAAGAAAAACAACACCGATAATAATAACCACAAATAAAAGGATAGAACCAACTTCAAAAATTCCTATCATAATAACAAAAGACCCGATAACGGAACTAAACGAATTTAAATTAACGACTTTTCAAAGTGTAGACAACGAAATACAAACAACGTTAAAACCGTTTGTAACATTTTCGAAACCGACCGTGAGTAGCTTGATTTATAAACCAACGAAAAGGCCAACGGTTCACGTAAATGTAGTGACTGAAGAGACAAAAGAGCCAATAACTGTTAGTGTACCTTTAGTTACAAGACCTTCTTCGCCAAGTTCACGTCCAGAATTGATCAAGGTAACCACAAAACCCACGAAATCCAGCAGACCGACGAAACCGAACAGCATAAAACCAACTAGAACGAAACCCAGTAGGCCAACTCAAAAACCGATTACAAGACCATCGAGTAAACCAACCAGAAAGGTGACGACTACCACAAAACCAATAAAAATCGTAACAAAAATTTCTACGGTAAAAACTGAAGTTGAAAAATTAACAACTACGAGACCAGAGTTAATAGAAACTAAACGTCCAAGTTCAACCACGATTATAACGACGATGAAACCAATTGTAACCGAATCTCCACCTAGATTTACACTTTCAGATGAATTACAAGCTCCAGCTATTAATGCGTCAAATTCTTTCCAGATTACAAGTCCTGATAGTACTTCCTCTAATAATACTCAAAGTTCCACAATTTCTATTCAAACTACCCAAAATACTTCATCTTCCTCAAAACAACCTGTTACAACAACAGTTACAACTCCCTCCATAACGTTATCCGCATCAACAACTAAACCTATAACAAGTGAACCTGTAACAAATAAACCTATAACAACCATAAATGCAACTACACATAAACCATCAATAAGCACAACTGAACAACTGCCAATTTTATTAACCACACAAAACCCAATTGGTTTGTTCCCAATGGAAGAAGGATTGAAAGTTCCAGAAATGGCAACAACAACCGAATCAAATGATATTTTAACTATGAATTTAACGTCGATATCTTCGGAGGGAGTGAATGGAAATACAGCTACTAATGAAATTGAATCTATTAAACCTATAATAGAACCTACCACAAAACCTAGCTTGGTTACGTGGACTGGATCAGTTGAAGAACCAATTATTAATGGAACAGATGGAGGTGAGTTTAAATTTTATACTACTAAATTTTAAATGTCTCAAGAAATTTTGTCACTTTTGAGAAAATTTTAAACAAAGTTCATTTTAATTATTGATAAAGTTTTAACAATAATTTTACGATGGCATTAAAATTAAGATTGTTACGGTAAGTATGCGTAAAATTACGATAAGATCATGGTTCGAAAATTGTTGGGGTGAACGTGATACAAATCTTAGCCGGGCGGTACTAATTCGAGGGCAACATGCTAAAAGAGTGTAGCAACTAAATGGAATTAGCTTTAGGGTCAGTTCACAAAACGTGTTACTTTATACTTGCACTTTTCATTCGAAAATCAGGATGAACGATTCAAAGTACAATCAAGACATGTTTGCAGGAGGATTCAAAACTTGATATTAATGAGATTTAGCATTATGGATTCTAGTTGGATTTTAGTTCTCGGTCTAGTGTTAGTTCTAGTGATAGTGCTAGTGTAATACTGGAACTAACACTAGACCTAGAACTAGAAACATTCGGGTTTAGCCGTGCGTCTCTCAAGACGGCTAAATCGAAACGATTCTAGTTCTCGATCTAGTGTTAGTTCTAGTGATAGCGCTAGTGTAAAACTAGAACTAACACTAGACCTAAAACTAGAAACATTCGGATTTAGCCGCACGTCTCTTAAGACGGCTAAACCCGAATGTTTCTAGTTTTAAGTCTAGTGTTAGTTCTAGTTTTCGTGCAATAAAAATATGCAACATAGTGATATGTTATGTTAACTAGCGCTACCTACCATTGTCACTGGAACAAATCACTAGACCAAGAACTAGAAACATTCGGATTTAGCCGCACGTCTCTTAAGACGGCTAAACCCGAATGTTTCTAGTTTTAAGTCTAGTTCTAGGTCTATACCTTTTTAAGCACTAATTGGCACTAATCAGAATCAAAATGACATTAGTCAAAATCATATTGGCAATGTCAATTTCAAATTGGCATTAGTCAAAATCAAATTGACAATCAAAATTAAAATGGCATTAGTCAATATGAAATTGGCAATAAACAATATCATATTGGCATTAATCAACAAATTTAGCACTAATCAAAAGCAAATCGGCATTAAACAAAATCAAAATGACATTAGTCCATATCATATTGGCACTTATGAATTTTAAATTGACATGGAAATAAAATTATATATCAGCATTAAATAAAATGAAATGGGCAAAAACATTTTATTGACTTACAAACACAGTAGATAACAATTATATTACTTAAGAAAGTAGGTAACGTTATGTTTTAAATAACACTCTTAAAAATTTATATCTTGCATATTCAATGCAGAAGGGATAAATCGTTGGATGTGGGCAATAAACATTGCGCAATTGGCAACAGTAATCTTGTCCATATTATTATGAACGGTGTTCTCTAATTTCTGCATTCGATATTCTGTTTGAGTCAGATGATCCCGGTCAGCACCAGCCAAGATGTTATTTAGCTGTACAGCCATATCTGCTTTTACTCCTGCTTTTAATGCAGACCACGCTTGTTCAATAGGATTAAACATAGGGCTGTACGGACTTAGTCGTAAAAGTGTGTGGTGTTCAAATTCGTTTTCTGCAAAAACCTCTTCAATAGTAGAGTGGCATGGAGCATTATCAATAACTAATGCAACTCCAGTTTGGTAAAGGCCTTGCGCTCTTCTTAGGCATTGCCTCACAAATTCATTTGCTTCCGGCTTCTTGAAAGAGCCCCGACGTAGTTCGGAATGAATTAGCCCCATGTTTCCAATGCATCCTATTAGGTGAATATTCCACCCTCTGCAACCTGCAGACACTGTTGTGTAACGAGTCCCTTTTTTTAAACGACTCTGCGTCTGCGATATGAACAAATTAAAGTTTGTCTGGTCCATGTATATGATAGGTATATTTTGTGCTTGAAGATCCAATAAATTTTCTACATAAATACTCCTGCTTGTTTTCGTTTGAATACTATTCGCGTTCTCTGGTTCTCTACGAGCAGTCTTCAAAGTAAACATCAATCCATTGAGATGCTGTCGAACGCATTCGTTGGAGACATTGAGTCCAAAATCTTCACGGATTTTTTCGCTCAGTCCTTTAAGAGTAATTTTAGGATTTTCTTCGACTGAACGTTCCATGAATTGACGGTGCTCATCAGTTATTTTAGCTCTACGTTTACCTCCTCGCTGCTTTTCCGGTTGTTCTTGGTTGTTAACCCATCGATACGCGGTTCTTTTTGGCATCTGTAGTACGTTTGCAAGATTACGCCAGTCACCATTGGCATTATACAAAGCGCAAATCTGTGTCCTCAGATTTGCAGCAGCATTTTTCTTTAAATAAGGCATCTCGTGTGAATATAATAGTTGAAATCTCGCAATAAATTACCATAAACTTGACAATAACCGATAAGTTAACAATTGTTTGACACCGATTTATGCATTTATTTTTCATGCCATCTTGATATTGTTTGGTGCCAATATGATTTTGACTAATGTCATTTTGATTCTGATTAGTGCCAATTTGAGCTTGAAAAGGTTCTTCAGACGCACGGCTAAACTCGATACTTTCTAGTTCTAGGTCTGTATAGTGTCAGTTCTAGTTTTAGTGCAATAAAAATATGCAACATAGTGATATCGTATGTTAACTAGCGCTACCTACAATTGTCACTAGAATTAACACTAGACCAAGAACTAGAAACATTCGGATTTAGCCGCACGTCTCTTAAGACGGCTAAACCCGAACAATTCTAATTCTAGATCTTGTGTTAGTTCTAGTTTTAGTGCAATAAAAATATTCAACATAGTGATATCTTATGTTAACTAGCGCTACCTACAATTGTCACTAGAACTAACACTAGACCAAGAACTAGAAACATTCGGATTTAGCCGCACGTCTCTTAAGACGGCTAAACCCGAATAATTCTAGTTCTAGATCTTGTGTTAGTTCTAGTTTTAGTGCAATAAAAATATGCAACATAGTGATATCTTATGTTAACTAGCGCTACCTACCATTGTCACTAGAACTAACACTAGACCAAGAACTAGAAACATTCGGATTTAGCCGCACGTCTCTTAAGACGGCTAAATCCGAATAATTCTAGTTCTAGATCTTGTGTTAGTTCTAGTTTTAGTGCAATAAAAATATGCAACATAGTGATATCTTATGTTAACTAGCGCTACCCACCATTGTCACTAGAACTAACACTAGACCAAGAACTAGAAACATTCGGATTTAGCCGCACGTCTCTTAAGACGGCTAAACCCGAATGATTCTAGTTCTAGGTCTTGTGTTAGTTCTAGTGATACAACATAACATAACACAAGCAACTGAAGTATGTATAAAATTGTATATAGTGTATGGGTAACCTTGTTTGCACAATAACCTCTTGTGCAACGTCAGTTTGCGGAATTTCTTTGCAGGTATATTTCCAGTTGGGACTTGACTTCTCGCATGAATTAAGATTTGTTTTTGAACAAGATTTACACATCAGTTTATTGACTTTAGAGAATTACTCAAGTGTCTAAATATAAAGAGATGTACGTCTCACTGTAAAACTCAGTTTGCAAAAAGATGCAACTATGTATCTGATTGTAATTTTTAACAAATTAAATATTAATTTGAAAGATTAACATGCAACGTGTGAAAATTAAAGGAACGTAGAGTTATTTAATATCCACCAGGTTTTTCCAGAGTTGTTAGGGTACCGTTATCTTTACATTCCGCAAAGGCTAATCTAAATTTCCAATTAGTACAATCTCATTTATTACGTTATTTCGAATACGTCCGGCGCAAATTGAAGCAAAATAATCGTATCTCCTGTGGTATCGAGTGCTGCGAAAACTGCTTCCAGGATGTTGGCGTTGCCTGTTCGTATTGATCCTGTCGTCCCGGCGGCTACAACGCCAGGAGCACAAAACTCATTTTCATACAATCGACGCCCCCAACTCTCTATACTAAATATCAGTTAATACATATGGAACCGTTATTTTCGTGAAATATTTACGTAAAAGCTTCGTCGATAAAGTAAAATTTGCATATTATCCGAGAGTGGTAATTTTAAGATAATGGTATTTTATTGGAACGGGATTTAAGTATTCTTAATTTTAATCTTATTGCAGTACATCCAATCGGTTTACGTACCCACATTTCGCTTATAAAGAGAAAAAATAAAAATTTAAATTATACGCTTCTCTAAGCGGATAACAATGAATCCAGCTCTGAAACTTGGTTCTTGCCAATGCGAGAGCTTTAGCACTCAAATAATGCGCCAATCCTACTGCAATTTCATTCGAGTATAAGTAATCCTTTGAACACACGTGTGCGATTCTATTGAGTCTTCTGAAAGAATGATGTTTATAGAAAGAATATTTTTATCTTTGAAGAATTACGCTATCTAAAGCAAATAAATTTAATGAGATTTGGTATAATGCGAAAGAATGTATTCAACTTAATTGTATTTCTATGTTGGGTCAAAAAATGGCTACCGGTTTGTGGTAAATCTGTAATAATTATTACTTATTCACACATTAAAGTTATATTCTCCGTTATATTTTATTGCTATATTAGCTACACTATAACCTTTCATATGTCAATTTTGTAATTTTACGGTAAAGGTATTTTTTCCCATAAACATCATTCACTGCTGAACGGTTTAATGCATGAATTTTGCTGAAACTGTCAGACTCTGTTTTCATGCTCATTATTCCGTACTAAATATTCTCCTAAAAAAAAAAGCCGTAAATTTCCTGTATTCTCGCGTGTCCCAGAATTGAAAATACGGGAAATATATGAAAATCCAGAAAATGTTAACTAGCTTGTATTTATTTTTTAGATTGGGTGCCAATGACTACCCCAGACGGTTGGGTCATGCTTCCTAGTGTTTCCTCTGTAGAAGAACATTCTTCACAATCTTCAAATGGTACATCAACAACAACAAAATTACCGTTAATCCATGTTGAAATTACATCTACAACGGATCATATTGCTCCATCAGAAGCTTCGAGTGGAAGTTATAACGTATCGACATCCGAAGAAGGTTCTACAACGATCGATTCAACCAATCAAGTGGAGGAACCGACATTTAATATGTCTAATTATAGAGACGGTCAGATTTATTTAAAAAATAAAACAGGTCGCAAATTAATTCTTGTGAAATTGGTTAAATTAAAGGTTTGGTAAAAAATATCAAACTATCTCTAAAGACCCATAGTTACCATTTATCTCCATTTAATGTATCCATTAAAAGCCTTAAAACTCATAAAATTGTTATTGCTCTAATTAATTCATTGGATACAATTTACATCCTCTATAATCTTGTAGACGAGGACATTAAGTGGAACAGGGTACCCTTATGCTAATTACATACGTTTATCAAACAGATGAATTAAAAACGAAACAGAAAGAAATCTCGTTGGTCGAGTTCAGTAAAAGCAATTTATTTACGTTGTCGACATGTTCATCACGTTAATGTTCCATAATGATCGGTAGAAGATAGCTTGCGACGAGGTTTTTCGACCGAATTGAGAATTCGCAGTCTGTCCCTCTACGAGCTGCCTTCCCATTAACCGCAACGAATCTCGCGCACAAAAGCGCAATTACAGAAGTAACCCACAAATGCTAAACGTATCCGTCCGGCCGTTCCATCGGTCCACGAACTTTCAAGGTAATTCGAATCGGACGCAACAACCTCCAACTGCAAAAAAATTATAGACGATAATAAGACGGGCGCGAACGAGAGTTAAAGGCGGTTCGCTTCTTTAATCAGTTCGCTTTCGACTTCGTCTCCTTCTTCACATCGCACCAAATTAAAGCAAATACAAACAACTGTAGTAAATTTTCAGTCTTTCGACGTTTACGTGTTAAGTATTTTTTAGTGTACAATTACAGTAACGATGACCGGCGGTTCACGTGTGAATTGTGTGTACAGTTAATGGTACACTGGATTTTACTTAAAACTTGACACATTGCATTCTGTCTAGATGGTGATTTGTGAGTTTAAGTAGTGCGGTTAAAATTTACTTTTTGTGTGAGCTGAAATAATTATATAGCAAGAAGTTTTCATTTTATGATGAAACGTTACATTATAACTTTACTAATTATTCTTCTAATTATAGATGGGTTTCTTCAAAAATTTTTACTTTAATGACTATCAATCAAATATTTATGAAATTTGGTAAATTTAGAAAAATTCAAATTAATTATTTAAGAAATGGACTCTCAATCAGAGATTAGATATAGAAATTTCGCCATTGAACCTTTGGGCACTTGGTACATCTGAAAGTATTATTGCCAACTTTGAATAGAAAAAATACTGCCTAAGAATCAGTCAGGCAACCCCAGGTATAATAGTCTCGGTACTCATCTTTAACTTATCTTTGCTTTGCACTTTCTAGTAGGAACAGCCTACTAAAGTCCCTAGATTTACAAAGTACCGCGGTTCATGAAGCCTCTTTTCAAGCCAAAATGGCGGTTTGACAGCTTGTTACTGCATCTCAACATTTATTTACAAAAATATTGCCGTCTTGTTGCCTTTGGAGTTGCAAAAATGGGAGTAAGAAGGACTTTCGACTCTCCAGAGTACCACGAGAAAAAAAGAAAGGAAATTTGGCGTAATGTTATCAATAGAACGACATAGTTTTAAATTTCCCGCTTGACTTTCGAGCGAAAATGGCGTCAAACCGCGGTACTTTGTAAATCTAGGGACTTTACAGCTTACCAGCCTACAGAGACACCTACAAACAAATTGCACAACAATCACTGTTTTGCGAAAATTGTGGCAAACTGGTTGCAGAAATTCAAAATTGTTTAAAATTAGTTGCGCAAAGACCCGAATGGTTCTGGTTCTAGGTCTAGTGTTAGTTTTAGTGCTAGTGTTACCACTCTGCTTCCTTTTTCTGTTTCTAACACCATCTTCCAACGCAACAGCAATGTTTCCAGGCGTACACAACACAAGCAATTGAAGTTAGTATAAAATTGTGTATAGTGTACGGGTAACTACAACTATAGCGGGTTGGATCCGCAATATGCTAGATAATAGAATAGTTTCTACTTCACTCCACGGTGATACGATACGCTTCAGGCCGGGAGGTGGCTGCCCGCAGGGAGGGGTGTTATCTCCCCTGCTTTGGTCCCTCCTAGTTGACGATCTGATTGCGATAGTCGAAGCCGTTGGTGTGGAAATACAAGCTTATGCTGATGACATTGTCGTTATGGTCAAAGGAACCTGTTTGCCGAGGATATCTAAAGTCCTCCAGGTGACCCTAGATACCATTTGCGCTTGGTGTAAGGGAGAGAACCTCTCAATAAACCCGCAAAAGACAATTGTTGTGCCCTTCACCAGGAAGCGAAAGTTGGATGGACTAATCCGCCCAACTATCCAAGGTGAAGAAATTCCTTTCTCAAAGGAAGTCAAATATCTAGGAGTAATCCTAGACAAAACCCTGTCATGGAATGGACATTTGCAGGGAGTTTTGCACAAAGCTAGACTATCCTTGTGGACTTGTCGCAGTCTTTGTGGAAAAAATTGGGGTCTTACCCCTGAAAGACTGTACTGGCTCTATGTGACTGTGGTTAGACCTATGATCACATACGGAGCAGCAGCCTGGTATAGGAAAGTCCGACAGACTTCAGTTATCAGTAAACTTTCACGAATTCAACGAGTAGCTGGATTGGCAATCTCTGGTGCGATAGGCACAACGCCAACTCTAGCAATGGAGGTTCTGCTTGGCCTATCTCCTCTGCATTTGCATATAGAGAAAGTGGCTAGAACAACCATTTACAGATTTAAGCAATATGCTCAAAACTGTTCCGACATGTCCTACCAATGGGCTGCGGAAGACATTATAAGCACTGATACTGTGCTATCAATGCCGTCAGATTTGGCGGTATCACTATCAGTGATTAATGCTCGATACCAGATTGTACTGCCTGAGCGGCAGTCCTGGATCGAAAATGAAAATTCTCTGGTTCGGGCAGACATTTGCTTGTACACAGATGGATCAAAAACGCCTGAAGGGGTAGGAGCAGGAGTATACTGCCAGACACCTCGAATTAAGCAAGCCTACAGCCTGGGTACGTACTGTACTGTATTCCAGGCGGAAGTATTTGCTATTGACATGGGTGCTAAAATCCTTCTTGAAAGAGGGGTGAAGAACATGACAGTACGAATTTTCTCAGACAGTCAAGCCGCTCTCCAGGCGCTGCAAGCCGTGAAAACGGTGTCGGCTCTGGTTAATGATTGTAAGAGAACATTAAACACACTGAGTTGTGATAACAGAGTCTCTCTGATCTGGGTCCCGGATCACTCTGGGGTTACTGGCAATGAAGCGGCAGATAAGCTAGCACGAGATGGCAGCGCTGAAGCGTTTGTGGGGCCGGAACCAGCAGTTGGTGTATCATTTGCGATGGCCAAATATAGGATTGGACTGTGGGCTGAAGAGAGACTTCGCCTACTGTGGACCAGTTCTCCTGGAATGAGATCCGGGAATATTTTAGGACTTGCCCGTAGTAGCATAAAAGTTCTAATGGGCACTGCCGATTAAAAACACACCTCAACTTGTTGGGTTTAGCCGACGATGTTGAATGCCGACTATGTGCGGAGGAAGCAGAGACGGTTGAGCATGTTTTATGCCACTGCCCTGCCGTTAACCGTATCAGATTCTCGATTTTTGGGTCGCAGTTTATCTCCTCAAAAGATCTGAATGACCTTTCGCCGAGCAAGGTATTAATGTTCGTTAAGAGCATTGGACTGCACGGTGAAATTTGATAACGATATCTATCGGGGTACAATAGATCCTTAGGGTCGCGGTGCAAGGTTGGTTGGTCCGCCTACCCGATATGTATTCTATGTAATGTAATGTAATGTAATGGGTAACTAGGTTTGCACAATAACCTATTGTGTAACGTCAGTTTGCGGAATTTGTTTGCAGGTGTATGAGGCCTATTAACCACACGCCAGTTATCATGAAGGTCATTTTTCTACGACCTCTTCCTAAAGATTCTTAATAAAGTTTGATGACCTTGTTGAATTAGCGAGTATCGATTTCTCCAGGCTACACAACTACATCAAATTCAAAAAAGCTTGCTATAATTCTTGCTAACAAGTTAAAATTTCATTATATAATTTTTTATACGTAGTATAAAAATCAATTTTAAACCAATTTATTCTTTCCAGACCTTTAATTAATCACAAAACATATAATTTAACCAACATAACAGGTAACAATTAAACATAAATCGATGAAGCCGTAAATAAACGTGTATTTTCACAAGAACTAATTAGCGACCAACGCTAGGGAATCGATAAACGTACCCTTTCAATGTTTCGCGGATGTTATCGCGAAATTAACAACTTCCCGCTCGCCGAGATGGTGGTAATAAGCTCAGCGCTTTTGTTGGCTGCAGTGTGCGGAAGGAGGATTTACCCGGAAGCGAGAATCGTGGGCGGAGACAACTCCTCGTTCGGGAAATGGCCTTGGCAAATATCCCTAAGACAGTGGCGTACGTCTACGTACCTTCACAAGTGTGGAGCGGCTCTTTTAAGTGAATACTGGGCCATTACTGCGGCTCATTGCGTCGAAAGGTAAGGTGGAATAATAATATTGATTAGATCGTGGAGTTGCGTGAATGCCGCTTTTTTATTTTGATTGTTATATTAAGAATTCCCGGAAGTTTGTAACTTTTCTGTTATCTTCTTACATTTTTCATTACGACAAAGTTCATTAAAAAGAAAAGAAAATAAATGATCCAAGTTTGCTCGAGCGTGAAATTCTCATAACTTCTCCTCTTTCCTTCGGTGAGAGAAGACACCAACCAACAAAATACCATCAGAGAGAGGTTTTTTCATTGCACACTCGAGTGGTTGAAGGCGTCTCTTCCTCCTTCTATTTCTTGTATTCCTTCTATACCTCTTTATTCACCTTATGTATGTCGTTTTCCTTCGGCTATTCTTCCTTTTCCACCTTCTATTTCTTTCTCTACAGACCAAGCGGCTTGGCATACACGACTGCCCCTTGCAATTTGATACAACTTTTCAACAAAAGACCTCGACCAGTAAAGAAAAGAGATCCACGCGATCAAGAACATAATTTAACGTGGAATCTCCCCTCCATCAATTATGTTTAACAATTTCACGGAACGTCGCCCAATGGAAACTTACACAGCAGCTCTGGAACTTATTAATAGCGAACACAATCGCTCGTTATGCGAATGTATAATTCTCGCAACAGGAGAACTTCCTCTATAACATAAATTTATGTTCTATAACTAAAATTATACAATGCATTGAAATGATTTTTTTAATTCATTAGGGTACCACCAAGTGATCTTCTTCTTCGGCTGGGCGAATACGACTTGGCAAACGAATTGGAACCGTACGTACACCAAGAAAGAAGAATTCAAATTGTTGCGTCACATCCCCAATTTGACCCCAGAACATTTGAATACGATTTATCGTTATTAAGGTTTTACGAACCTGTTAAGTTCCAACCAAATATTCTTCCGGTTTGTGTGCCGCAGAATGATGATGATTTTATTGGAACAAATGCTTACGTTACTGGATGGGGAAGGCTATACGAAGGTAAACAATTATTTTTATTTCATATAAGTACTATAATTTTACTTTAATTGTAGATGGACCTTTACCTAATATTTTACAAGAAGTGCGAGTTCCAGTAATTAACAACACATTGTGTGAGTCGATGTATAGGTCAGCAGGTTACATCGAGCATATTCCGCATATATTCATATGTGCTGGATGGGGTAGGGGCGGTTACGATTCCTGCGAGGGTGATTCCGGCGGACCCATGGTAATCCAACGGGAAGATAAACGTTTTCTACTTGCGGGAGTGATATCCTGGGGCATCGGGTGCGCAGAACCGAATCAACCCGGTGTGTACACGCGGATAAGCGAATTCAGAGAGTGGATCAATCAAATCCTTCAATTTTAAGGGACATGATTATTAAAGATACGATATATATGTGATTTTAAAGATCTGTGCTAAGCATAATAAAAATATTTGTTATTCCATGTGTATCGATGTGAAACGAAATAAGTGAAAAATAACTAAAGACGATGTTATTATTAAATTAATGAAGAGAATCGTATTTTCAGTGGAATATTTTTTTTATTATTTGATTTAGATGTGGTTAAATTGGTTGCAATTTTTATATTCCACTGGATTTATAATTAGAAAAACTATGAAGACAGTATGCAATTTTTTATTAATACAATTAAGTTACATTACTGTTTAATAGTTACAAGTTTTTTGATCTATGTCGATTTAATCATAAATCTTATACGAGTGATGTAAAGTAATTACAATTATGTAAATAGTGGTGCATGTAATTGTATTTTTTATTTTGTAAAATAAATATTTATTTATTTAAGCATAATTAGTAACGAATTTATTTTTAATATAAACGTCTTAACCCAATAATTGCATCATAAACTCAGATATGCGCAAATTTTATCTGGGTATTATAACCCAAGCGCACATTACATACGCTTTTAATAGGGAACAAAATAGATATATAGAAATAATTATTACAATTTTTACTTTCTAGGTGTAGTGTTAGTTCTTGTTTTAGTTCAATAAAAATCTATGGTTTATCGTTTTCTGAATAAGAACTGAAATTAACACTACCACTAGAACTAACACTAGACCTAGAAGTAGCAATATTCAGATTTAGTAGTTCAGAACTATTTCAATCATTTATATGTTACAAATAAACATTTTTCCTTGTTAAGACCCAACCCTATACACTTTTAATACCCAAACATCAAACATTTTATACTTTCAACTGCAATTCTTTGAAGAAAAATAAGATTTCGGTAAAGAGTTAAAATTATTCCACTACTTGTTAGTTTTATTAAATCGCTTAATCGCATTTATTACATAAATAGCTCTTTTTTAATATGGCTAATAAACGCAAATACCTTGGGAACGACTTAAGATATGAAGGCCGAATGTATATTATTTTGTTTGATTTTAATGTAAATGTTAGTTTTTACTTAATATGCTAATGTTGATAATACTTGGGATTAAAAAGATAACTGCGATGTCCATCGATTTAATCTGAGTAACTAATTTCTATTTCTCACGCTAGAAAACATAAAACTGCCAAATATTATCTTTGTGTTATAAAAATTATTAAGTAATTTTTAAATTTAACCAGTAAGTGGAACTTCTTTGAAGTTTTGAGTTTGCAAAATTTTCTAATTAACACTTTGTTAATCTAATAGAAAATATTTAACGTCAATATTATTATTACTATTCTTAGTAATATTGATTTATTTAATTAATTATTGGCAACTTTCTCTAGGTGATTAAATAAAAGAAATGGAACTTAATGGCCAACTTTCTATATTTAAAGATAACAAAACTAACAATTATCTAATTTGAAAAGTCCACATGCTCTCTGTAATTTGTAACTTTTGTAATATTCGTCTTTTATCCAGATTACCACTTCCTATTCTATCCTAAAATTATAAATTTGAAATAGAAACTAATGATAGTGGTGAAAGGAGAATGTAACAAGCCTAACACCTTCATTTTGAGGTAAAATATATAAACTACATAGACTAACTCAGACAAAAAAAAAGCCGCAGGCTCCTAGGACGGAACTGGGGTCTCAAACCACGAATGGCTCATTGGGCCTACGTAGCAATAATCAGACCCATGGTCGCCTACGCCTCATTGGTTTGGTGGCCAAAAACATAAGACAGCTGGCACAAATCCAGCGATTAGCATGTCTTAACATAACGGGTGCAATGAGATCCTGCCCGACGGCTGCTTTGGAATCCCTACTCGGTCTCACACCGCTCCACTTATATATACAACAGGAGGCAGTCTTAAGTGCCTTATCACTGAAAACAGTTTCTTCACTCAAGTTGATGCAGGGTAACCTCAGAGGACACCTCGAGATCCTCAAGGACCCATGTCTAAATCACCTGATTGAAATTAAAACGGAAATCAATTTCAACCAACTGTATAAGGTCATATTTAGTAGCAGGAGCCTAAACTAAAAAGAGGAGCCCTAGCCTGGTACACCGATGCTTAAAAGACAGTAAGATCTGGAGTAGGCATGGGCATCAATGGACCAAATAGCCACATCAAATTGCCCCTCAGCTCGGACTTAACAATTTTCCAAGCAGAAGTTCTTGCTATAAACTTCTGCACCGCTTTGAAGGGATAAAAAGGTGCATCCATAAACATTTTCACAGACAGTCGGGCCGTCTTAAAGGCAATTTAGGCCTACACGTGTGGCTCCGCACTGATCAGAGAGTGTACCAACAACCTGAGAGAACTCGCTAGGGGCAATGATGTTACCCTATGGTGGGTTCCAGGTCACAGCAAAATTGAGGGCAATGAGAGGGCCGACAAGCTGGCCAAAGAGGCAGCAAACACGCCCTTCATTGGACCCCAACCTGGTTGTGGACTACAAAAAAGCCACCTAAAACAAATAATCAACAACTGGGAGGCTTCAAAGATAGCTTTACGATGGAAAGAACTTCCAGGTCACAGACAAGCGAAGACTATGATAACTCCGTCGCAAAACAAAACCAAAGAGGTTTTATGCGCCCCTAAAATACCACCTCTTCCACATTGGACAAACTGAGGATCAAACTTGTCGACTATGCAACGACGAGTCAGAAACTGCTGAACATATACTGTGCAATTGCATCGCCAGAGGCCGTCTAAGATACAACGTCTTCGGTAAAACTCTTCTGTTACCTGCCGATATAAAGGTTCAAGACCTCAGGACAATACTAAGGTTTATTAAGGACCTACATTTGCCCTAAACCTTTGGAGGGCTAAAGTTACTGTAGCGTGCTGTGGCAGCAGCTCCATTTAAAAACAAAATGTATTTTCATTTGTTATTATTTTTATATTTGCCACACAATTGTTTTTGAAGTAAAACAGAACAGACGCAAAATAAAAGTCTGCCAAAAGTTAATTTTATAATTATTGTATTATTATGTTGGCTAATACCTCATAGCCACATTTGGTGACCCCGATCAAAGCAACTCGCAACCTAGAAGATTCTTCCCCCAGTCCGATTAAACCAAGTCACAACCTGAAAATTATCCCTTCACCCCGACTAAACCAGCCCGGCAAATGAGATTCAACTGAAAAATTCAAGAATCACCAATTCAAGAATTAAGAAAAAACACCAAGACAAACCAGGTACCTAAATTACAAAACACAATATACATCCGATGTGAGATACATTAAGGGAAATTCCAATATTGTTGCAGACGCTTTGTCTAGGACAAATATTGAATCCCTAAATTCTCAGTACCCCGACACACTTACACTTTACAAAGCTCAACTCACAGATATCGAATTATCGAACCTACTGCATAAACAATTTTTTCGCACTCACACTACAACACCCTATCAGTTATTGCTACAACCCACAACGCTACCTGATATCAAATTATGGTGTGAAATATCAACGGAATCTCCGCGAATCTACATTCCGCAGCAATTTAGAGAAATAGTTATACAAAAATTTCATGGTTTATCTCACCCTGGCATTCGAGCAACCATTCATTTAATAAAAACAAAATTCTTTTGGCCTCATATGTCGAAACAAATTCGTATTTGGACAAAATCATGTTTACAATGCCAGAAAGTTAAGATACAAAGGCATACAAAATCGCCAATTCTCAAAATCAAAGTTCCAAAAGTTCGATTTGAACACATTCACATTGATTTGGTTGGCCCACTTGTTCCATCTCTTGGATGTACTTATCTGCTCACAGTCATTGAGCGTTTCACACGGTGGCCAGAGGCTTTTCCTCTAAAAGATATCTCTGCAGCCTCTATTGCAGATACTCTTTTCAGGCATTACTTCAGCCGTTTCGGTATTCCTACCATGATCACTCACGATCAAGGACGACAATTCGAATCACTATTATTTTCAAAATTCCAATTATTTTTAGGTACTCATCAAATACACACATCTGCTTATCACCCACAAAGTAACGGTATGATTGAACGATTTCACCGTACTTTGAAATCAGCGATTATTGCTCGAGGTAATTCTACTAGATGGAACAATGACTTGCCTTTGATTCTCCTAGGTCTCAGGTCATCCCTAAAGGAGGATTTAGGTTGCTCATCCGCTGAATTGGTTTATGGTCAGCAACTCAGATTACCAGGAGAATTTTTCTTACCTACCGAACCATCAATTGAAACTGAACCATTATTATCACGTTTAAAATCATCTTTTGCTGACATTAAACCAGTTCAGTCAACCATACATTCCAGCCAAAAACCTTTTGTTCACAAAGAATTATTCAGGTCAAACTTTGTATTTGTTAAAATTACTGGAATTAAACCTACGTTGTCTCCTAGGTACGAAGGTCCCTTCAGAGTGTTGAAGAGATTTTCAAAATTTTTCGTTGTATTGAAAGACAGTAAAGAAATAAATGTAAGCCTCGATTTGCTGAAACCGGCTTTCTTTCTGAACGAAAACGTTTCTCCTGAAGTCAACAATTTAATAATTAATAAAACTAAAAAAGTACATTTTAAATTTTAATTCAAATTTTTGACTAAATGTTATCCCTCTTTCTGTTCTTTCTTTATAGGAGGGGAAGTGGATGTAGCGTGCTGTGGCAGCAGCTCCATTTAAAAACATAAAAATTGTATTTCATTTGTTATTATTTTTATATTTGCACACAATTGTTTTTGAAGCAAAACAAAACAGACGCAAAATAAAAAGTCTGTCAAAAAGTTAATTTTATAATTGTATTATTATGTTGGCTAATACCTCATAGCCACATTTGGAAGTGGATGTAGCGTGCTGTGGCAGCAGCTCCATTTAAAAACAAAATGTATTTTCATTTGTTATTATTTTTATATTTGCCACACAACTGTTTTTGAAGTAAAACAGAACAGATGCAAAATAAAAGTCTGCCAAAAGTTAATTTTATAATTATTGTATTATTATGTTGGCTAATACCTCATAGCCACAGTTACAATAGATCTTATAGGTCGCGGTAACGAGAGGGGCCGCTCTCCTCAGCCCGGCAGCAATAATAATAATAATAATAATAACTCAGACAAAATTGAGTGTTGTCGCTTGAAACTTTGCCCCTTTAATGGGACAAGAACATACACGAGTCTTTTTCTGTGTCATCACCATTAACAGAGTATTTAGGCATGACCTTTAACCTCCACTTTTGTGACTAACAATACATCCCCGTATATGAACTGTTAGCGATTTGTCATAAGTCCCACTGAGCCTCCAAGTCCGGAGACGTTTCCATCCACTCTCAGTAGCTAAGAAGCGTGTGTAATATGCATCAAACTATCAAGAAGCATATTTTTTATGCTAAACTTGGCAAAAAGGACTGTTTTACAGATACTGGGAGATTAATACAA